GTTAACGAGCTGGGGGAGGAGTCACAGTTGGAGGTTTTCATTTGGGGGGTGCCAGCTCTGCTGCGGCTCGTTTGGGATGCCTGGAAAGTTCATTAATTTGCCTGCTCGCGCTGGAACAGCTTCGTTAATTAATATTCCGTTAATTGGGGCAGCAGGCAGGGCTGGCCACGGGTGCCCGTTATTTTCCTGGTATTCCCTGAATTCCCAGACTATTTTCCCAGATTTTTCCAGGATGATTTTCCCAGTATTCCCAGAAGATTTTCCCAGATTTTCCTTTATTTTTTTCCTTGGATTTTCCGGGATGATTCTTCTGGATAATTTTCCTGGATTTTCCCAGATTATTTTCATGGATGATTTTCCTGAATTTTCCCAGGTGCTTTTCCTGAATTTTCCTGTATTATTTTCCCAATATTCCCTGATGATTTTCCTGGCTGATTTTCCTGGCTATTTTTCCAGATGATTTTCCTGAATTTTCCAGGATGATTTTTCCAGATTATTTTCCCGGCATTCCCAGATGATTTTCCTGGCTGATTTTCCCGGATAATTTTCCACGATTATTTTCCTCTATTTTCCTGGATTATTTTCCTGAATTCTCCTGGATTTTCCCGGATTATTTTCCTAGATTTTTCCGGATTATTTTCCTGTATTTTCCCGGATTATTTCCCTGGATTTTCCCAGATTATTTTCATGGATTTCCCCAGATTATTTTCCCGGTATTCCCAGATGATTTACCTGGCAGATTTTCTGGGATGATTTTCCTGGATTTCCCCAGATTATTTTCCTGGTGTTCCCAGATGATTTTCCTGCCTGATTTTCCCAGATGATTTGATTGTCATTTCCCAGATTATTTTCCTGAATTTTCCTGTAGTTTCCCAGATAATTTTCCTGTATTTTCCCAGATAATTTTCCTGAATTTTCCTGTAGTTTCCCAGATAATTTTCCTGTATTTTCCCAGATTATTTCCCAGTATTCCCAGACCATTTTCCTGGCAGCTTTTCCGGGCTGATTCTCCCGTGTTCCCCAGAAAACTTTCCCGGTTTATTTTCCCGGCCGCTCTTCCCTGCCCGTTCTTTCCCGGTGCTGAGTCCCGGGTATTCCCGGATGTTCCTGAGTCCCGGATATTCCGGGTGCTGAGTCCCGGGTATTCCGGGTGCTGAGTCCCGGATATTCCCGGATGTTCCTGAGTCCTGGGTATTCCCGGTGCTGAGTCCCAGGTATTCCGGGTGCTGAGTCCCGGGTATTCCCGGATGTTCCTGAGTCCCGGGTATTCCTGAGTCCCGGTTATTCCCGGTGCTGAGTCCCGGTTATTCCCGGTGCTGAGTCCCGGATATTCCCGGTGCTGAGTCCCGGTTATTCCCGGTGCTGAGTCCCGGGTATTCCCGGATATTCCTGAGTCCTGGGTATTCCCGGATGTTCCTGAGTCCCGGGTATTCCCGGTGCTGAGTCCCGGATATTCCGGGTGCTGAGTCCCGGGTATTCCTGAGTCCCGGGTATTCCCGGATGTTCCTGAGTCCCGGGTATTCCCGGATGTTCCTGAGTCCCGGTGTTCCCGGATGTTCCTGAGTCCCGGGTATTCCCGGATGTTCCTGAGTCCCGGGTATTCCCAGATGTTCCTGAGTCCCGGATATTCCCGGTGCTGAGTCCCGGGTATTCCCGGATGTTCCTGAGTCCCGGGTATTCCCGGATGTTCCTGAGTCCCGGTATTCCCGGATGTTCCTGAGTCCCGGGTATTCCCGGTGCTGAGTCCCGGGTATTCCCGGATGTTCCTGAGTCCCGGGTATTCCCGGATGTTCCTGAGTCCCGGTGTTCCCGGTGTTTTCCAGCGGCGTACCGGAACCTGGGCCAGAACCTGTGGGGGCCGCACCGCTACGGCAGCCTGGGGGCGCTGCGCGTGCGCTCGGTGGTGTCGGGGCCCTGCGCCGCGCACAGCCTGCTCATCACCGCCGAGGGCCGCCTCTGGAGCTGGGGTCAGCCGGCAGCGGGA